AGCGGAATGGGAAGCAGAAGCAACGGGGTATGGGAATGGAATCTGCAGTGGAGGAGAAAATTGTTTGAGTGGGAAGCGGAAGAGGCCATGGAACTTCATAGCATGATAACAGACGTGAAGATCTCACAAGGAAGCACGGATAGATGGGAATGGATTCACGACAAAAATGGCCAATACACAACAAAATCAGCATTTGCACTTTTAACAAAAGAAGAGAGTGGAGCAAACGGAAGCACAACATTCAAAAGAGTCTGGAATCCCATCCTTCCAAGCAAAATATCGGAGTTTAATTGGCAATTACTTCAGGATAGAATACCAACAAAAATGAATCTACTGAGAAGAGGGGTCATTAAAGACATGAGAGAAAGCAGATGCGGTATATGCAATGAAGATGAGGAAGACTCAACGCACATGTTTTTATAATGCAAGATGGCTCGATGGTTATGGATGGCTTGTGCAAAGTGGTGGGGTATTAATGTCACACTACAAGAGGAATGCTGGAACACTTTCCAGAATTTTGAAAGAGAGTTGAAAGAGGCAAGTTTAAGAGACGGATGGGATTGTATTTGGAACGCCTTGGTGTGGACGGTGTGGCTGGCCAAAAATCAAAAGATATTTCAAGGAAAAAAGATTGATGCGGTTAAGCTATTTGAGCTCATTCAGATGAGATTCTTTTTTTGGATTAAATCAAAAAATGACAGGTATGCTTTTAACCTTGTCAATTGGATTATGAATCCTGTTGCATGCTTGAGAGAGTTTGTAGCAAAAGAAGGGCACCAATCAATTAATTGCGGGCCAGGACAGATTTAGATAGTGTTTTTTGTCAAATGTATGATGGGATGACATATGGGAAGGTCTTGTGGATCTGAACAGTGAATGGTGAAGAAACTGCAAAAGTAGGCAGAAGCTCGTCACGGGTATAGTGTCGACACGTTCTTTAGGTGTCGACACCAGTTGGTCAGCATCCAAAACTCCGACACGGACGTGGTGTTGACACATATTTTGGGTGTCGACACTATTTGACAGGCGTCCAAAACATTTAATCTGATACTTGTCAAGTATAATGTATAGGTTCGGGGTACCCCTTGTACTCCGGGTATTAATAAATATTAATTTTAGCTGTTCAAAAAAAAAACTTACCCAACAGTAAAAAATATTTTAAAAAATAAAGTTATATTTCTCAAAGCAAACGGACGCCTATAGTGTCCTTTTTTGTGATTTTCCGAAATGATTTAAAAGAGGCCGCCCGGCCCGAGCAAAAAATGGTTACTTTATACACGTCGTATAGGCGTAACCAAGGTAGTTTGTACCGTATCGTACCGGTTTTAGAGGTTAACCGAAACGGAATATGTTAAAATTTTGTTTCGGTCAAATTTCGGGTGTACCGGTCAAATTTCGGTGTACCGGCCGAAACACCGGAATTTGACCGGTACATTATGCAAGAAGGAAAAAAAAAAAAGATTCCCCAGCCGAGAAGCCCGCCGGAGGAGACAGAAAGTTGCCGGATCTGCACCAAACACACCAAGAAACAGCAAACAAACAGAATCCCCAGCCGAGAAGGCCGCCGGAGGAGAAAGAAAGCCACGGATCTGCACCGAACAGAACAAGAAACAGCAAACAAACAGAATCCCCAGCCATGAAGGCCGCCAGAGGAGAAAGAAAGCCGCCGGATCTGCACCGAAAAGAACAAGAAACAAGAAACAAACAAGGAACCAACATATAAACAAACAAACAAGCAAACAACAAACCAAAAAAACCCACACAAAACAAAAAACAAAGCCACCAGAGGGGCTACAGAATTGACAGGCTACGGAGGCCATCGGAGCTTGGAGCACATAGTCGCTCCACTGTGCTTGAGCGGCCGGGAGGCCCGGCGACTCAAGCAGCAAAACGCGAAAGGCCGTGGGCTTCCGATCAAAACCGCGGGGGCCAGCAGAAAAAGAGAGAGAAATAAGTGGATACCCTGAGTTCTCTTTTTTGAAGAAAAGGTGAGGGGCATGGGGGAACAAACAAAAATTACTAAGAGGGTTTTATTTTTTTAAGTGAAATATTCTTAATATTTATTGAGAATTTGTTTAACTACCCTTTTTAATTGATAAAAAAGAGTTAATCTTTTTAATTTTTATAAGATTTTTTATTATT